CTCACATTCTGCGCTCCTCGGCCCCGGCCCCGCCGCGTCCGAGCCAGGCCGCCCCTCCTCGGCGCCGCGCCGCTGCCCGCGCGGGCCGCCTAGAGCTCCCGGGCCGCCCCGCGACCGGGGGCCTCTCTCGCGGGGCGCCCGGCTCCCCTCACCCGCTCCCGCCCCCTGGGCGGCCGTGGAGTCGCGGGGAGGGCGGGAAGGGCCTCCCGAGGAGAGCGGGCGGGCGCGAACGCGGGCTCCGCCACCCGAGCCGCTCCGTTACCGCAGCGGCGACGACGACCAGGGCCGTGTTGTTGCTGCCAACTTGTCGAAAGGACACTGAGCATGCGCGCACGGAGACCACATCCGGGTAATTTCAGGGTTTGGCCCTTTTTCCCCCTGCAGCTTTCCTTTCTCCCTGCTGCCCCCGCCTCCCGCCCGGAGTGACGGGAGGGTCGCTCTGCGCAGGCGCTCACGAGGCGGCACCAGTCGGCAAGCTGCCCGGAGTGCCGGTCTGGGCTCCGGGCCTGGCGGAGGGCGCTGCCCCAGAGAGGCTGCTTGCAGTGTGTTCATCAGGGAAATTGGCATCCCTTTACAGAAAAGTACGCAAGCAGCGCTGGAGAGCTCGGAGTAGAGTGGGCGTCCAGTAAGTGTTTGTAAACAGCGATGAGCCGGGCCTTGTTTTTTGAGGACCTGCGGCCACAAAAATTAGGGTTGGACAGCCAGCTCCGGGGAGAAGATGGTTGTAGCGGTTTACGTTGGGAAGAAACAGGCGATGACCGCACCTTCTTTCCCTTTCCACCAGCCCTGGATTACTAGATCCAAAAGTGTTTAAACTTGCCAAATCCCTTTTTGGGCTGAAGAGATGCACAGGAGAGTCAAGGAATCACACATTTGAGAGTCTGGCCAGGTGTTATGAAAAGTGAGCGGAAGAATCTAGGTGAAACCTCAGAGTTGGAAGGGACCTTCCAGGACCTACAACACACCTGTTAACTAGGTTACCTGTTGGGTAGAGAAAGGCATAAACTCTGCTTTTGAATTAATACTTATTTGAAAGCTTTCCAAGATAACAGGCGTTTATTTTATATTTTAAAAGTTTCGGAAAACACATACTAATTATATATTTTTTTAATTTTTATTTTACTTTTCTACCACCTAGGAAATACCTCCATTGGGGGTCCCACGGAAACTAATTATTGGGAAGTTCTAAAGTCATTTCTTAAGTCTCGTTGCCCTCCTACCTTTCACACAGTGTCCTACCTCCTATCCCCATGCTGTCCTACCCGCCATCATGTCCTGGGCTCTTACCTCTTCTACCAGAAAGCCTCTACAACTGTCATGTTCACTGGTGTTCCCTACTCCTAGGGTGCAGGAAGACTTTCCAAGACTAGTTTTAAGCGAATTCATTTACACATCTTCCACTGCTATATGTACTATATAATAAAAATTGCTCAGCTTGAGAAATCACCTGAGGACAGAGTGTCCCCTTTCAAAACCGTCCTTCTCCCACCTGACAGAAAAAAAGTAAAACTCTCACCCGTTACTTAAGGTGCATCAGCTCAAGATGTAAAAACCTCCAGGGCAATTCAAAGGGACAATTCAGAAATGGGTGTCTGTGATGTGGAAGTGAATGGCCCAAATGAATGGGTTATAAATTCTTTTGCAAGTCAGGTGGTTTCCAATTCTTGCTGCCAACAAAATTGAAGGAAGCTCTAACTCGGTGATTTGGTAAAAGATCAATATGTGATTCCTAGGCACTATACCTCAGAAGGAGTTAAAAAGTAACATTGGTATAACTAAACCTCTTCCTTTGCCATTTGTATTTGTTATTTATCACTGTATGACAATATAACCACAAATTTAGCAGCTTAAAACAACACACATTTATTAGTTCACAGTTTCCATGGGTCAGGAGTTTAGGCATGGCTTAGCTGGGTCCTCTGTAAGATCCCAAATGAAGGTTGGATGGGAAAGGATGCACTTCCAAACTGTCGCTGGCAGCATTCAGTTCCCTGCAGGCTGCACAGGACTGAAGGCCTTAGTCCCTTGCTCACTGTCAGCTGGAGGTCCCTTCAGTTTTTTGTCAATATAGCAGCTTGCTTCTTCAAAGACAGCAAGGGGGAGATTCTCAGTGCAAGACACTGGTAACAGACGTATGTAACAATCACGTATGCATAATTGCATATATCCTGTCACCTTTGCTATACTCTATTTTTTTAATGCTTATTTATTTTTGAGAGAGAGAGAGACAGTGAGAGCAGGCAAGGGGCAGAGAGAGAGGGAGACACAGAATCTGAAGCAGGCTCCAGGCTCTGAGCTGTCAGCACAGAGCCCAACACGGGGCTTGAACTCAAGAATATAGAGATCATGACCTGAGCTGAACTCAGAGGCTTAACCGACTGAGCCACCCAGGTGCCTCTGCCATACTCTATTGACCAGAAGCAACTCACAAGCCCTGCCCTTACTCAAAAGAAGGAGACCACATAGGAAGGCAGGGATCATGCGGGGCCATATTAGAATCCACTACACCATCTATTTATTTATGCAAATAATAATCCTATAACCCCAACCTCCTCAGAATTTGTCTTCACGTTCTCTTCACTTTCTTGCTTAAGGGAAACCTGACTTTCCCCTGGGACAGTGCTTTCCCTTCCCCCTTTGAAAGTAGTGGTAACTGTGTTTTCAATCCTAAGTCTCTTAGACTGTGCCTGGAAGCCGGGTAGGTGTCCTCCCTGCTCCTCAACAGACCATCCCCCTCTCTTCCTACTAACCTGCAGCTTTAAATCTTCCTATCCAGTACCCCTCATCGTTGCTCTCATTCCCCTTCATTTTGTCACCATTTGCTCTGTCAGTCACTCCAATACCACTTCTGTCTTTTTTTTTTTAATTTTTTTTAACATTTATTTATTTTTGAGACAGAGAGAGACAGAGCATGAATGGGGGAGGGTCAGAGAGAGGGAGACACAGAATCTGAAACAGGCTCCAGGCTCTGAGCTGTCAGCACAGAGCCCGACGCGGGGCTCGAACTCACGGAGTGCGAGATCATTACCTGAGGTGAAGTTGGCTGCTTAACCGACTGAGCCACCCAGGCGCCCCTCTTCCGTCTTAATCCTAGGTGCTTATAATGTACATGTGGATGATCTTCCCAATATCCTGACCTCTCAGTTCTTTGACTTCTCTTCCAAGGATCCTGTCCTACCCTAAGTCTGCCACTCACTCCCATGGGTATAATCATAGGAGCATTATCAAACTTTGCAACTCATCATAATCACAATTTCAAATATACTCTGAACACGATCTCATTTACAAATCTCCTTGCAGCAATTGTTGAAAGTACGTATCTGCTCTCTCCCATCCTTACCCAGGTTAAATATCTGGCCAATCATTACAATCACTCCCTTGCACACATTCTCCACCCTGGCACACTCTCATCCCCCTTTGTTGTGCTTGCTAGGCAAAACCACAATCCTGATCAAGCCAGCTCCCACCTACCCCACACCAGCCCTCACGCATCTGAATGTGGCTAGAGAAAAACACAATGACACTGCTTAGTTTCACTTTAAACTCATCACTCAACCTCCAGTGTGCCCTCCGTGCTGCCCCAGACTCCCACTTCACTCCTCCATTCTTCTGGATGTCATAGCTCTCTGTCCTCTAACCTACACCTCCTTCCCTTTCATCCTTTTTCTCAGTAACCTTGCTTCCTGTTTCGTTGAGAAAATTGAAGCAATGAGACGAAAATCTCCACACAATCCCACGATCCCATCTACCCATACCCTCATACCAACATCTATAACCTCTTCTCCACCTTCCCTCCATTACGTAGTTGAATTTTCCATGCTCCTAGCTAAAGCCAGTCCCTCTGCTAAGGCAACAAATACCAATCTTGGCTTGACTAATCAAGATCATCACCATGACTCCAGCAATTATCTGCCCCCTTCTAATTATCAATGTTTCCCTCTATACCGGGTCATTCCCATCCAGCTGACAAGCAGCTGTTACTTCTCCAATCATACAAAGCCTCTTTGACCCACTTCTACTGTCCGCTACTGCCTCGTGTCTGTACTTCAATTCCAACAAAATTTCAAGAGTTTTCCATGCTTTCTGTTTCTGGTTCTCCTGCCACCCTGTAGCAGCAGAATTCATGCCATATGATACAATTTATATAAAGTTAAAAAACATGCCAAATATAATGCCTGTGATAATATTACATGCATATGTAATAGAATCACACCAGTGCATATAAGGTTACATATGTGGCATATTTGAAGTATCCAAGTGAGCAGGTCTCCCACTTAAACCAGTTCCATTCATGCTTTCATCCTTACTACTCTATCAAAACTATTCTAGTCAAGGTCAACAATGAACTTCATATTGCCTAAGTCCATTGATCTATTCACAATTTTCATTTTAATTGACCTGTCTGTAACAGCTAACATAGCTAATCACTTGATTCACCTTTTTTTTTTTAACCACATCCACCAATTTTCCTCCTTCATCACTGATCCCTCTTTCCCTGTCTTATGTCTTCTTTGTTGATTCTCTTTTCCCAGACAACCTTGCAATGACGTAGGGCTCATTCCTTGGATTACTTCTCCTTTCCATCTATACTTATTTCATTGGTGATCTCATTAAATCTCCTTTCAACAACATCAGAGATACATGATATCATCATATATGATGACATTTCCAAATTTATAGATTCAGCCCAGACCTCTCATCTAAACTCCAGATTCTGATATCCAGCAATCTGCTGTACATCTCAAACTTATGCCACAAACTGAAAAAATATTCTCTCTTAAACCTGTTCAACTCACCAGCTTTCCTCTCTCATTGACGACAAGTCCATCCTTCAAATTGCTCAGATCAAAAGCCCTGGAAGCATGCTGCCTTCCCTCTTTCTTTTATGTCCAGTGTCAAGTCCAGATTCAGAGCATCCCTTACCATCTCTACTGCTTCCTCCCTGGTCTGAGCCACCACCATCTCATGTTTGGATTAGTCTTCTAAAAGCTCTCCCTGCTTGCACTCTCAACAATAGCCAAATTGTGGAAAGAGCCTAAATGTCCATCAACTGATGAATGGATAAAGAAATTGTGGTTTATATACACAATGGAATACTACGTGGCAATGAGAAAGAATGAAATATGGCCTTTTGTAGCAACGTAGATGGAACTGGAGAGTGTGATGCTAAGTGAAATAAGCCATACAGAAAAAGACAGATACTATATGGTTTCACTCTTATGTGGATCCGGAGAAACTTAACAGAAACCCATGGGGGAGGGGAAGGAAAAAAAAAAAAAAAGAGGTTAGAGTGGGAGAGAGCCAAAGCATAAGAGACTGTTAAAAACTGAGAACAAACTGAGGGTTGATGGCGGGTGGGAGGTAGGGGAGGGTGGGTGATGGGTATTGAGGAGGGCACCTTTTGGGATGAGCACTGGGTGTTGTATGGAAACCAATTTGACAATAAATTTCATATATTGAAGAAAAAAAAAAAAAAGCTCTCCCTGCTTTCCATCTTGCCCCTTAGTGTCTGTTCTCAACGTAATAACCAGAGTGATCCTCTGAAAACATGATGATGTCACTCCTCTGCTTAAATCTCCACAATGGCTCCTCATTTCACTCAGAGTAAAAGACTGTCCTTACCGTAGTCTACAGGGTTCCACAAGATTTTCACCACCATCCTACCCCAATCATTATTTTTCTAATCTCATCTCTTGTTGTTCCCTTGGATGAATCTGCTGCAGCCTTACTAACTTTCTTTATTGACCCTAGAAGATATGAGCCATATTCTCAAATTAGGGCATTTGTGTTGGCTCTTCCCTCTGCCTGGGACACATCTCCCCCAGATACCTGCAGTGCTAACTCCCTAACCCTCTTGAGTCATACGTCATCTTCTCAATGAGGCCCACCCTAACCTTTTTAAAACCATAACTCATTTTGAACCCTACCCTACACCCCAGATTCCCCTTACCCTGATCTATCTTCCTCATAGCTCTTCTCATTTACTGTGTTATTTACTTATATTTATGCTTATTGCTTATTGTCTCCTACTCCCCACTAGAATGTAAGCTCCACAAGGGCAGGGATTTATACATAGTGTTTACTAATATATCCCAAGTGACTAGAGTTGCTATTGACACATAGGAGGCTCTTGATAAATTCGTTTGGGTAAATGAATACGGTGTTTCATGCTTCTAACCATGTCTTATTCCAGCAAAAATATTCTGCATTTTAATTTCAGTAGTTCATCAAAATTTATAACATTTTATGTTGTTTATACCAATTAGGTATTCAAAATTGTATTAATAATACAAGCAAGATGAATGTTTTAAACTTAGAGACTCAAAGATTTTTTTTTTAATTTTTAGGGAAATATGATAGGCTGATCAATAAAAGACTTTCCAGACTAAAATCTTATATTAAAATGTTCAGGAGCAAGTAGAATGGAAGTACAAGATAAGGAGAAAAAGTGATACAGAATTTCTTTTTAAGAAAAGCTTGTTCATGTATTTTTTTAAATAAATCATAGATGCATTATGATATTTAGATTCCCTTGGATACACTTACAGAATGATGTAACAATCTTATTTTAAAATGCCAATACTTATAATATGCCAGAAATAACAAACTTTGCCATTATTTAAACTTAAGATGAAACGTTTTAGATATGACCTTTAAATTTTTTTTTTCAACGTTTATTTATTTTTGGGACAGAGAGAGACAGAGCATGAACAGGGAAGGGGCAGAGAGAGAGGGAGACACAGATCGGAAACAGGCTCCAGGCTCTGAGCCATCAGCCCAGAGCCCGACGCGGGGCTCGAACTCACGGACCGCGAGATCGTGACCTGGCTGAAGTCGGACGCTTAACCGACTGCGCCACCCAGGTGCCCCTAGATATGACCTTTAAAGGTACAAGAAGAACCATCGTTTCTCAAATTTCTCTTAGGAGGCATGCAAGCAAGAAATTTTGAAGACCACAGTGCCAAGGCACTCCAGGGGACCTAAGCCACCACCTTTCCGGAGACTTCTTCAGGTGAAACATCTCAGTTCTTCCATCCATCTCTGCCCTGGGCTCTTGTTCCCTTTTGTTTTCTCTGAGGCTCACCTCCTGTGAAACAGAGTTTCCCCAGGGTAAGGAGAACATAGAGCTTTTACCTTTTCATCCCAGAGTTGAAGACCTAGCCATCCCACTTCCAGCACCGCCCACTGAGGAAGAAATAGAATAATTTTTCATGTGGGAGTGCCTGGGTGGCTCAGTCATTTAAGCATCCGGCTCTTGATCTCCACTTAGGTCATGATTTCAGAGTTCGTGGGTTCAAGCCCCCATAGGGCTCTGTGCTAATAGTGTGGAGCCTGCTTGGGATTCTCTCTCCCTCTCTCTCTCTCTCTGCCCCTCCCCTGATCACACTCTCTCTTTCAAAATAAATAAATAAAACTTAAAAAAAAAAACTATTCACTGTCAGCACGGAGCCCAATGCGGGCCTTGAACCCACAAACTGTGAGATTATGACTGAGCTGAGATCAAGAGTTGGATGCTTCTGGGTGGCTCAGTCAGTGAAGCGTCTGACTTTGGCTCAGGTCATAATCTTGCAGTTCATGAGTTCAAGCCCCATGTCGGGCTTGTGCTGACAGTTCAGAGCCTGGAGCCTGCTTCAGATTCTGTGTCTTCCCCTCTCTCTGCCCCTCTCCCGCTCATGCTCTGTTTCTCTGTCTCTCAAAAAATAAATAAACAAATAAACATTAAAAAAAAAAAGATGCTTAATGGAAATGTGGAAATGATGTAGCAATTGACAGCTCAAGGCATGAGTTAGGCATCATGACATTTTAGAGTTAACCCAATTTTTTTTCAGCCTGTTTTGGTTCTGTTTATTTGTTTTCATTAGCTAGGCAAGTGATAAATTATAATTGTTTTATGCCAGGTCTAGTGAATAGTAACAAAGGGTACTGATAAAATGAAAGGAGCTCATACATTAAAAAAGATGTAGAACCAGTGGGTTATTTTAGGAGCATAATGGGAGTTAACCCAATGTTTTAAAAAATAATCTAAGTTGCCCTTGAAAATCATTTAACATTGATTAACCTAAACACTGCAAAGCACTATTTCCCTCATCCCTAAAAGCACTACAGTAAACTGTCATCTCCTTTGGCTTAAGGTGTAGAACATTATGTTTGCGAGTGACTGGTGTACATTTGACTATCAAGTGATTTGTTCTTTCAGCTCTATAGGAGGCCAAAGACTTGATGAAGAAGAGCGAAGATGGGTAGAGCCAATGCTCCATTTTATTTATTTATTTAAATCTACTAAAAAGCTACAATAGCTGCTATCCATGCCAGATCCAGCAAGGGTGACAGAGGCAGCTGTGAACAGAATCCGAAGTGGGGGAAAGGGGTTGGGCAGGCAGGAAGGAATTACGTGGGAGGGGAAGGGAAATCACAGCCCACCTTTGTCTGGCTGCAGTCCTCTAAGTACTAACAGAGACCAAGAGGCAGCTGAAAGCAAGGGACAGGAGCAGTACACACCCCTCTGTCAGCCCTAACCATTCACACAATGCACATTTTTATTCAATACGGACCAGGTACCAAGTACTAAGGGATTCAGAGAGAAATCTATAGCACATGCCCTTGAGTAGTGCCGAGTCTAGTGGGGGAAGAGTGAAGTGTTAATAGATAATTCTGATGAGGTGGACACAGAATGCTGTGAAAAAACAAAGAAGGAGCAACCTAATCTTGCCAGAGTTCAGAAGCCTTCACAAGAAAGTGACATTTGAGCTGGACTTGGAGGGAAAATAGGAGTTTGCCAGTAGAATAGGATTGAGTGAAGACTTTCAGGGCAGAGAAAACAGGCTACAGATATGAAAGTGATTGGTGTGTTTGTGGAATTCAATATATAGCCGTAGGTATACCTGTCATATACAAACAAAGCAAAACGCAATACACCACGTTCAAGAGGGTACATATTACAGCGTTGTTGGCCTTAACAGACTGTTGGAAATAACTCAAATGTTTACCAAAAGGAGACTGGATAAATAAACTATGGCACATCCATACAATGGAAGACTAGATAGCTGTAATTTAAGTGGAAGTTTTCACTGTACCCGTATGGAAAGATCTCAAAGGTTTACTGCCAAATGACAATGCAAAGTCCAAAACAATGTGTATATTATGCTATCTTTTCTATCATAAAGGAGGAAAAATAGTATATGTTTATAACAATAATGGTTGTATGGAGTAGAGTGAGAATTGGACAGATGAGGAATGGATGGGAGAAAATTTTTCACTGTATAACTTCTTTTATTATTCAACCATGTAGATGCATTACCTATTCAAAAAATTAAACTGAAACTAGATTCAAACTTGAAATTCAGAGTGACTGGAATGTGTATGCCCTTCCTTTCCTTTAAGACTCTGTCGATAATCAGGGTGCCTGGCTGGCTCAGTTGGAAGAGTATGGGACTCCTGATCTTGATCTTGGGGTCATGAGTTTGGGCCCCGTGATAGGTACTAAATATATATATATTTATATATATATATGTATATATATATATACACACACATATATATACATATATATATACACACATATATACATATATTCAAAAAAAAAAAAAAAAGACTTGATGATCCTCTAGGATCCCTGATGTTTGTCAGGACTGGGTGCCCTTTCTTTCTGCTCCCAGACCAGACTGTGAGTTCCTTTGTCCCTGAGGACAGAGGTTCTCTTGAGGACCTTCTGCATAACAAGTGTGGAAGTGTCAGAGAATGTTTGTTGAATGAATGCACAGAGGTGAGAGATGAGGCTGGGAAGATAGATTTGGAGCCAGACTATGAAGGAAGACATGCTCATGAGTTGAACTCCACTGGAGGACAGATATGTTTGGGTTTTATAGTTTTACTGAGGTACAACTTACATTTACAAACTTTTTAAGGGAGTTGGATGAATTTGGGTAAATGTATACATTGTGGAACCATTACTACAATCAAGTTTAGAACACTGCCATCACTCCAGAATGTTCCCTTCTGCCCCTTTGCTGTCAATCCCCACCCCCATATTGCTGGCCCCAGGCAACCATTGCCGCTGCCTGCTTCCTGTTTTTCAGGTTTTGGTTTTTCGAAAATTCCATATAAATGGAATCTTACAACATGTAATTTTTGCATCTGGATTGTTTTTACTCAGCATGATGTTTTTGAGATCTAAAATGTTACTGCGTGTATCAGTAGTTAGCTCCTTTTTATTGTTCAGTAGTATTCCATTGTGTGTATTTGCAAATCCATAGAAACAGAAAGTAGATTGGCAGATTAGCGGTTGTCACAGGACAGGAGAGGAGGGGAATTGAAAGACACGGGGTTTGTTTTTGAGGTAATGGAAATGTTCTGGAATTAGTGCTGATGGTTGTGCTACATTGTGAATATATTAAAAGACTGAATTGTACACTTTAAAATGATTAAAACACATGCACCTGAAACTAATGTAGCACTGTGTGTCAACTATACTTCAATAAAAACAAATAAATAAAATCGTTCAAATTCATAGAAACAAAGAGTTGAATGGTGATTGCCAAGGGTTGGGGGAGAAATGAGAAAATGTTGGTCAAAGGATACCAGTTTCCAATTATAAGATGAGTAAGTTCTAGGGATCTAACATATAGCATAGTGACTTTAGTTAACAATACTGTATCATATATACTTGAAAGTTGCTAAGATCTTAAATGTTCTCGCCACCAAAAAAAAGGTATAATTATGTGAGGTGAGTGATGTATTAAACTAACTTTATAAGGGTAATCATTTCACAATATATACATGTATAAAATCATTGCATCGTATGCCTTAAACCTATACAATGCTTTATGTCAATTATCTCTCAATAAAGCTGGGGGAAATAAAATTATTAAAATGGTAAGCTTTATGTTATGTACATTTTATCTTAAAAAGTTACATTCTAGGTGGCATTCACTTTCGAATGCCCCCTGTCTGTAAAGAGAGCTTTCCTACTATTCTTCCTTTCTGATCTTATACTCTAATAAACTTGCCTGCTGCTCAAAAAAAAAAAAAAAAAAGTACATTTGAGGTAAGCATCACTAACAAGGTTACTAAGCAAATAGCCCTTGGAGGCAGCCTCACTTGGTTCAGGTTCTCATTTCACTTCTTACTAGCTATGAGACAGGGGACAAAGCATTCTAAGTCTCAGTTTCTTCATCTGTGAAACAGGGATAAAAATAAAGCCTGTTGTGCCACTGAGCTGTAGAGAGGACTCAGTGAGATAATGCCTGTAAAGCACGTAACATGGTCCTGACAAGCACCTAATCAGTATTAGCTAACTTTTTAATCCAACTACACCTGCATATGTCAAGTCTATAACATGTCTTAATTTATTCAATTCAACACGAAGCAGGGATTATTCTCAATCTATAGGTGGTGAAACTGAACTATCAAGAGATTAAAAATAACTTGTCCCCATATTAGGGAAGATTCTATAAAATAATTGGTCTGTATTTTTCAAATGTGTCAATGTCATGAAAAACAGACTGGAGAACTGTTCTGGACTGAAGGAGGCACAATAGACATGACAATCAAATGCTGTGCGTGCTCCTGAACTGGGGATGGAAGAAGGGGGGGACATTATTGGGACAACTGACAAAATTGGAATATGGACAGCAGATCAGATAATAGTAGTGAATCCATGTTAGGATTCCTGATTTGGGCAACGATAGTGTGCAAAGCCAGGACCTAGGGTGTGGCGAGCAAAGCTCTTGGGAAGCCCTCTCAGGGCCATGACTCAGGCATTGCTTGCTTCCCCCCTGAATCTGGCCCTAGTGTTATGGTGGCATAAGAGATGTCCTTGTTTTTATTTTATTTTATCTTATTTTATTTTATTTATTTATTTATTTATTTATTTATTTATTTATTTATTTTTTTTTTTTTTTGAGAGAGAGAGAGAGAGAGCATGAGTGGGAGAGGGGCAGAGACAGAGGGGGACAGAGGATCCAAAGCTGGCTCTGCAGTGTCAGGACAGAGCCCGATGCGAGGCTCAAATTCAAAAACCACGAGATCACAATCTGAGCCGAAGTTGGATGCTCAACCAACTTGAGCTCAACTGAGCCACCCAGGCGCCCCAAGAATGTCCTTGTTTTTAGTAAGTACACACTGAAGTATTAAGAAGAAAGGCATGTATGTATGTAACTAGCCTTCCAGTAGTTCCAAAATAATATATAAGCATAGAAAGAAAATATTAAAGCGTATGTGGCAAAATGTTAATAATTTGTGAATCTGGGTAAAGGATATGCAGAAGTTTTTTGTACTACTCTTGCAAGTTTTCTGTAAGACTGGGTTTTTAAAACAATTTTTAAGTTACCTGCGCATGTAATGAAGTCCCTTTAACAGCAGAGCTGGAACCTGAGCCCTCTCCAGCCTCCAGCCCTCCACACTGAGTGCAGTGTGGAGCAGTCCTGCAACCCAAATCTGAAGCCAAGACCCAGAAGGGCCTCCTGACCAGATGCCTCAGGAAGTGGCCCAGGTGCCTTTGAACAGTGTTTCTTCCACTTTAACATGATCTTGTTAAAATACAGGTTTGGGGTGCCTGGGTGGCTCAGTCGGTTGAGCGTCCAGCTTTGGCTCTGGTCATGATCTCGGGTTCATGGGTTCAAGCCCCGCATCAGGCTCCTTGCTGACAGCTCAGAGCCTGGAGCCTGCTTTAGATTCTGTGTCTCCCTCTCTCTCTGCCTCTCCCCGGCCTTTCACTCTTTCTTTGTCTCTAAAAAAATGAAACATTAAAAACAAATTTTAACAAAAAATGCAGGTTTTGATTTGGTGACTCCAAGGTGGGGCCACATTTCTAACAGGCTCCCAGGTGAAGTGATGCAGCTGGTCGCCGGACCAGAGCTCTGAACGCAAGACCCTAGACTCCAGAGCCTAGATCTCTAGAGCCTAAACTGCAAAATTTCTTGAGGTGGGAAATAGAAAGGAAAACTAGCTGATTTAGGAGACAGTCCACAGTTGCGATGCTACCTACTTCAAATGCTTGTCAATGATTAGCTTAGCTTTCTTTTTTTAAACATCCTTTCATTCAGGAAACATGCAGAGTGAGCCTACTGGGTGCCATGCTTTATTTCGGGTGAGGAATTGGATGGTGATGAACATTAACTGAAACGCCTAAAATTTATCCAGCCTCTCCCTTCCCCTAGGAGACTCCAGATCTGCCTTAAAACTAGACAGTTTTTGGTTCAAACAAGTGAATGTAGCATCTAACCGTCTCAGTCAGTGTCACAGGCACAACAGGGAACATTGCAGGGAGGGGGGTGCTGGAAATAACAATTTCATCAAAGGCAAAAACAAAACATTTTTTTTAAAGGTAGAGTTGGTATCATTTTAGTGATAAAAGGATCTTATAATGAATATGTGTGCAAAGGGTTTTGAGCTTTCAGCTCCGAGGGGGGAAAACATCTAACCTTAACATCACCAAAATCTTTCCTTAGTTTTAAAGAATTTTTCTTGGGAGACAACCTTGAGGCGGGTAATTAACTTTACCTGGGAAGAAAATTGCAGTTACTATTTTATTTTAAAGGGTTCAAGGATAAACAAGTGCCACCTTTTCAGAGGTGGAAACGCAGGATTTGAAGGAGAAGGATGCTGTGAGCGCTTGAACAGCCCTTACCTCGCTTCTCCTTGGGAACTGGCTGTGTGAAGGATGTGCGAAGCTGCTTCCAGGACTCAGCCTCCAAGAAAAGGTGTCCCCTCCTTGCTGTCCCCTCCTCCAAGAAAAGGTGCCCGCAAGAAGCTCCCACAACACCTGCCACTCAGATTTGTCTTTCTCTTGCGCCCATTGGCTGCGGCCACCTCTCCCCTCTGCTGTTTTCTCTTCCCCTTTCCTTTGCCTGGTGGACTTTCACTTCCCGGGCCCTTCTGACAAGCTGCACCCAGCTGCTGCGGATGAACTGTCCCCACGCTTCCTGCCCTCCGCCACGTGCAGCCCACGCAAGGTCAGCCCCGTGCGGGAGCACTGCTGCCCATGGAGCCGCCTTCTGGGCCTGGCTACCTGGGCCTCCACACGCGCATCTTTGACCAGCAAGGAAGTGAGAAGTCAACACCCTCCCAGCCACACGCCCCGGGAGGCCACCAGCGGCGGCAGCTGTTTGCCTCCCGCCCGTTTTTCCGGGAAGCCGGTTCCCGGGTTGGCCCCCACCTGGTTCAGCGCTGACACCCATCCTCACTGAGAAAGGTGCCCTGGTTCCGCAGCACGTCTCCAGCCTGGACGCCCGGCCCGCCCCCCCCAGCATACACACACACACCACTGGCGTGGCCCGGGAGCCGCAGTTGGTCTGAACTTGCCTGAGGCTCCATGGGTTAGTGAGAATACCAGGCCGACTCTGGTCTTAGCCACAGTCCACAAAGGCTCCTTGGCAGGGGTTCTTTGTGCAGGCTTTGACCCAAAGGCCCAGGAATGCAGGCTTATGCCACCCTCCCTTACAGCTGCC